TTTTTATCATGTATCTCAAAATTTTTTTAAAAAAAATTCTGCCGCGTTAATTTTGCAAATATCTGTCGTGCGTCCAATCTAACCTAATAAAATATAGAAGGTTGAAGAATACATCACCAACTGATGCAGTCGAGTCTTTTAGCGCGTGGGCTTATGTTATCATGTTATTTTGATTTTCGGTGTTGAAGTTCTTGCAATTGTTTTTTTTTTTTTTTTGAACTGGGAGGAAATTGGGGGAAAGGGGGATGGGTAGGCCGCAGTAGCAGTACTTAGAACTCTGATAGTTGTTAAGAGTATGATTCACCCGGATCAACGCAACCAAACCAAAACTATGGGTGTGAAATTCTTGCAATTATTTAAGTTGAGAGGAAAAAATAAATAAATAAAAAGGGGGTAAATGCGGGTGAAGTTATTATTGTATTTTAAATAATTAGTGTTATATTTTTTAATATAATTATTTATTATATTTTTATATTATATTTTTTAAATTTTTTAAATTTTTTATTTTTAATAAATTAAAAAATAATAATTAATTAAAATAAAAAATAAAATATTAATAATTAAAAGTATAATAATAATATCACCTCACGTAAGTAAAAATCAAGAAAAATTATTGTAACAAAGATGATTAATAAAAAAATTATTATTTAATTTTTTTTAAACAAATATAAATTTTAAGAGGTTGGGATTTAAATTAATATTATATTAATAAAAATACACTTTTAAAACTACCTTTTAGCCAGTTGACTCACAAGGCCGAGAGCCTATTCAGGTTTTTCTTTTTTTTTTGGTGAACAGATTTGAAATGGGGGGAGTGGGCGATCGAATCAATTCCAAAGGATTGAGAATGCACCTATCAATGTGATTAATGCTATTAGATAAAAGGTGCATTTATTTGATTTTTTTTAATAGTTTTATTTATTATAAATTTATTTTTAAAAAAAGTAAAAAATTTAATAAAATTACACATTAATATTTAGATATTAAATTTAAGATCAATTACTATTTCATCTATTTATCTTTTTTAAGTATTTAAAATAATTTTCTTAAATAATTATAAACAAGACTATACAAAATATTTTTTTGAAAATAGGCGATTGAACTATTCGAAATATTTTGAGACATATGAGGTAAATATTTAACTTATAACATATATTCAATTTATAATAAAAAAATTCATGTAAAAATAGGTTCATGACCGGTGGAAGTGAGTCTGGAACTCCTCAAGTCTTTTGGGACTTGTCTTATCCTGCTGTTTCCTTACTTAATGTTTTGTCATTTTGTTTAAATTAATTAATTTAAATAAAACTTTTAAAATTAATAATAATAAAGTTGAGGTGCTATTATTGTTATTTTTACCTTTAAAAAATTTACATAATGATGCAAAAGCCCGACACGGACTTTTGCTTTTCCACTACGTTAGGGAATTGACACCTGATCTCGAGGAGTCGACACTTGCTCGATTATTAGCAATTGCGTGCAAATCCGACAGGCTTGATTTTCACCGTAAAGAAGTTGACAGCTGATCTTACGAGTTTGACACCTAGGCAATTTTCAGCAATTATGCAATTGAAGTTTTAATTCTTTGATGTAATCCCCACTTCTCTTAAACTAAGGTTTCTTTTAATTGTGTATTATTTTTTGAACATTTTGTCATGAGACCAACTAAAACCGTTGCCTTTAGGGAGTCACTTGGCTAGAAGATCAAGTTTTTTTTAATTGTGTATTGTTTTTTAATAATACATAATGTACATTAGATTTTATGTGAAAATTATTTATTAATTTAATATAATTTTATTTAATAATTACATGTACATAAAATTATTTATTGAATATCTTAATTTTATAAATTAAAATAATTATTTATATAATAAACACATATGTATATTCATTTTGCACAGAATAAAATATATATTAAATGTAACTCATAAAATATATATTACTTGGAAGTTAAGATTCATAGTTAGTGGCAAATAAATTTTTGATATAACATTTTTCATGTTTTGATTTAAAATTATTTTGTGAATATTATTACACCTATGATCTATGTTATGAAACAAATATCAGATATTAAGTTCTAAGATTTTATTAAAGGAATTATTTTATTACACATGAAGTTATGTGAGTTTATATACTCTATTATTTATATATTACAATTTTCTCATATTAATTTTCTTGAAACTCATTAGTCATTACACTACTCATTTGTAAAGTTTTAAGTTTGACTATTAATAAATATAATTATGGTGATGGGATAAATGAATAGATAATTGTGAAAATTTAATTAATTTTCATAAATAATTATTTATCCTAATATCTAGTTTAATATATAGATTTCATGGTATTGTGTTTCCAAATAGGCATATTAAGTGTCTATTTTTAAATATAATAAACATATTTGCAATTGCTAATAAACTATTTATAAAGACTAATTAGGCATTTAAAGAAAACATAATTGTTATTTTCTATTAATTATATAAAAGTGCAGAAAATTTTAAGAATATATATATTTATTTATATATCAATCAAAGGTAAACTAAGGATTTTTAAAAATTATAGTTTTAATTATTCATCAACGTATATGAAGACAAATTAAAATGGTATAAGATAAGATAATTGAATTATTGATTTTACTCATGTAGGTATTTTATTCAACATGAAGTTATTTGTTTCTATATGTGAGTTTTAGCATATAAATTCTATAATTTAACTACTCAAATTCTAAATCTATAAATAAGTTTTGTGGAATTAAAGGTTGATATAACTTATAATTTAAGATTAAATAGTTAGATATATAATAAATTTTGTTGGTAATTAATTAACTTCAAGAAATTATCAAGGGTGTTTATAGACATATAATTTAAGATTAAATAGTTAGATATATAATAGATTTTATTAGCAATTAATTACCTTTAAAAAATTATCATGGATGTTTATTGTGTATATTGGTGATAGCTTAATTGTTGCATTATTTTGAGTATTTGAAATTTAAAATCTCAAATAAAAAGTATTTGAAAAAGTTTGTGAATTTTAATATTTGTATATCTTGATTCATTTAAGATATTAATAATGATTTTATATAATTTTCTTCTAGTGTTAAATAATGGAACCAATTAATATTGAAGGTCTTCTTGAAAGTTTTGGAGTTCTCTAAATTCATATATTGTAAGTATTAAAGAATTATTATTATTAAATATTACAAAAGATATGATTGAAAGAGGTTATAGAACTGTATATATGGATGAAAGTCGTAATAAAATTTTATGATTAATATAAGTAATATTAAGAATTTATTTATTAAGATTAATGGCTTTCATCATAAAAACTTTTTGAGATGTTAGGAAATTTTATTTCAGTGAAACATTAATTGATTTTTCAATAAAAATTTTGAAATAGTACATTATTTATAAACAATTATTTCAATAAGAACTTTTGAGTTGATGTAAATGATACAATCAAAGTAGATGATTTATTAAGATTCACATGTTTAATCGTATATTAAAATTCATAAATTTTTCAATAAGAATTATGAAATATATTTTTATTAAAATTAGTATATATGATTATCTACCCAAAATAATAATTGTATATATTTACTAAAAGAAGTGCGGGTCTTTATAGAGGGTTTTTATTTTGGTTTCACAAAGAATTTTCTTCCGGTGATTGTTTTCTACAGGACTATTCTTACTAATTCACTTGTAATTGAAATTTTTAAGTTTTAATAAAATTCTATACCCACTAATCTTATCACATTTCCTGTGTCATTTAAAGTTAATTGGTCAATCAGGAAGATCAGAAAATGAACTATTAAAGATAAAGAATGAAAGTTGATATTTTCATATCAATGTATGCAATATTTTGTCCAAAAGTAATTATTATATGTATTAACTTGAAGTAATTGAAGCTAGAGCACTTAGTAATAATTATAAGTTTATATATATATTTGCTAAGAGGTGGTTTTTTTTACTAATTAACCTTGTTAAGGTTTAATTTTATAAACTCATTTAATCTAACATAAAGATGGTCATTAAGTGACGAGGATTGCATCTTATACTACTGTGAGAATATTACCTATTATCTACCTCTAGTTGTGGTTCTTTTACTATTTATATTCAGAGTAAAGAAGTAATTGATTCAAATATTGCTATTTTTGATTTTTTAAATTATGAATATGAAAGTTTATTTTAGATAGTGATGTATAGACTAAATAAACGGGAGTTTATCATAAATGATACAAGTATAAATTTAAAAAGAATTATGCTATATGGTAAGGTATACTATATAAAATTTACTTTTTAAAAAGCATTTTTATAGAGGTAAAGGTTTATAATTAAAATTATAATACCAATGTAAGAATAATGTTAATTTGTGTATTACTGGTGTGATTTGTATCTTGAACACGGCAGATATAAAAAAGCCTCCAATAACCGATACAACTTCCATGGAGATTGGAGGCTGCCGCCTCAATAAGGCTCACGCTCTCCTTTGCAGTGGATGCCAATCCACATGCCAGAAAGACTAATTTTAAATTCTTCTTTTAATACTTTGCGTAAAGGTTTTAATAGATTCATTCAAGATGCCGAAATAAAGCAAAAATATATATCAACATATCATATTCAAATTTACAAAGTTCGAATCTCTAGCAATGCAGTGGAATATGTTCTCTTTCTCCATCAAAAGTCTTGTGGGTTTAGTATGATTTTGCAGATTTTGCTGTCATAACTTTACATACAAATTAATTCTTCTGCATTTGTTGTTGATCTTACAGTTATTAATTCTTTCTACCTTTTAAATATGCTACAAAAATAAAAACAGCATAATGATGAGCATAAACAGAACATAATAAAGTTACCATCATGATCTATATCCAATTCAGATAATGAAATGAGTAAACTTACATTTACAGAAAATTTAAACCAGAACAAAAAAAGTTACCATCAAGCGTGAAATTCCAATTAAATACTGCTTTAACATCGATCAACAAAGTAGAAACTTGTGAATATGTGCAATTGCCAAACTCAGAATACAAAAATGAAATGACAGATCAACTAATCTTTGTCTCTCCCAAAGCAAAAAAGCAGAGGTCACAAGGTCACAAGCGAATGTAGGAGAAAATTAAGTTACTCTCTCCAAGAGGAAAATTAGTACAGAGGACGCGCTGGTCAAATCACCAAATGTTGGGAGCCAGGGATAGCAACTTTCTACTCTGCAGCAATCAAACTTTTTTCATTTTAAGGAAGCTCAAGCTTCTTAACAAAAGGTACCCCTCTGATACTCTGCAAGAAAAAATGAATCTTTACTTGATAAGAATAGCATTTCAGCTGACATATCTGATATCCTGAACAATATTGTGTGGAAAAAAAACCACTGATATCATTATTACCGTTTGCTTGAATCAGCTAAGTTGATAAAAACTTGCAATTCAAATTAGAAACTCTTGCAGAAGGGAATGGTTGAGCTTGCCAAAATCAGGTCACAAGCTTGTCAGTTGTTATTGTCTTTATCTCAATAATAGCTTTACAAAGGAAAAACAGTTTCTTAAAAAAATGCAAAGAGAGAAAACTTACAAGGTATCTAGAGGACTAAACTGTATTACTTTTGTTATTTGCATTTGAAGCACAATCTAGTTACAAGCTTGATAATATCACAGCAGATTATAACCTTCCCACTTCCAGTTTCAAGAAAAATCCCATTCGAATGTGCTGTTCTATATGCCCTTCCAATTTCTTCAAATGGAAAGAAAGGAAAAATAAATATATATGCAAGATTTTGCAAGAATTTAGTACAGATTTTTTTTTTTTAATGTTTTGGTAAGTAATTTACCACAGATAAGAGTCAGATGGGAAAACAATAAAATTTTAAAAAGCCTCAATATTAAATTAATAAGATTTGTTACAAAAGAGCTTTTTTAAAATGCTTGAGGTAGCAACTTCATAATTTCATTTCCATTGAAAAGAGGATTAAACTTCTTATAACAAAAGGAATCTATTTGCATGAAAAAAGAAACCTACAGGTCAGTTAACATATCTAATGTCTTAAAATCATTTTTACCTTTTTTTAACTAACTCAGCCTTGTAGAAAGAAACTTGCAAATTTGAAATGCACAATAAGTCTTCCTTCCAGCAAGAAGAAACTTTTGCAGAAGAGCATGCTCTGAGCCAGAAATAATAAGATTACAAGCTTGTCAGATGTCAATATTTTCATATCAATTCTTAGCCTAAACCACGAAAAACAAGTTCTCAAAAATCTAAAGAGAGAAATCATACAACATGTCTACAAGACTGATTTGTATTGATTTTTTTATTTGCATTTCAAGCACAACTCTGCTGCAAGCTTGGCAATATCTTCACAGATTATAACTTTTTCCTCTTCCAGATTGTAGAAAGATCCCCTTAGAATGTCGTACTATGTTGCCTCCTTCAATTTATTTGAAATGGAAAGAAGGAAAAAATAAATGAGGTACTTGAAGCTAGGAAAAGGATTCCAACTTCCAAAAATTAATCATATCTTAGAACATACCTTTCATGTAGGCACCAACCTTTTCATAATCAAATCTACTAAAGGCTTCAGCATAACCCTTCTTCTATGATGCCTCTTCTTGAAATCCGGATTGGAGCACTGCATAGAGAATAAAACTATTTTCTTTTAACCAACACCTACAAGGTAAGGTGATTCTTCTAATGTCAGAATAGCACCAACCAAGATTGAAACTAGCATAAAGGGTCCAGGATATGCAACATTAATTGTTCTAAGAAAACAGAGGCATATGTAATAAAGAAATGTCTGGAATACAATTCAAGTGATCCATCATCAGATTTGAAATAAACCAACTCATCAAATAGGGTAGATTTAAGCATTAAACTTACTTAGAATTTGCATGGATTTCTCTTTCAATAACCATCCCTTATCTTCACAAGGCATGGTTGGAATGTGTTAATGTGATAAAGTCTAAAAGACACTGCATCAAACTGCTTTCTCATGTCAAGAGCCACTTCAAATATATCAGATTGGACAAAATCCTGTTACTCAAACCATACAATGTCCATAAAAGATTCTAACATTTATATTCAGGAACCCCTCCTGTTAATCTTCTTCCAGCAAATGAACCTACAAGTATGACATGGAATGCTTTATCACTTCAATTACAATGTATTATAAAATGAATGCCTTTTATTCACATCGAAACACAAAAACCAAATGTATATACAAGATTTTGCATGAATTCACCACAACTAAGCATAATTCAAAGCATGGGAGAAAATAAAACTGAACAAAATTGGAAAAACAAAAAAATTTGCAACTTTGAGAAAGTAAGCCTATCTCCCAACATACCTTCTTTCTCAAGCACCAACCTATTTATGATTGAATCCACTTAGGCTTCTCCACGGCCCTTCTTTTATGAAGCCTTTCTTGAAATGGTGATCTGGGCATTGCACAGAGCACATCACTATTTTCATTTAACCAACAACTAAAAGGTAAATTAAATTTTCTATTGCCAGAATGCCCAGAAGTACACACACCAAGATTAAAACTAACATCAAGGGTCCAGGACGAGGATACTAATTGTTTGAAGGATACTGAGGCAAAAATGAAATTTCAGCAATACAGTTCAAGTGATCCATAATCAGATCTGAAATAATGCAATTCATCAAATAGGATAAGTTTAAGCCCTAGAACCAACTCTTTACTCAAATCTCAGCACACATAACTGGCTGTAGAGCAATTAAATAGCATGACCATCTAGATAATCTCAATAGAAAAATGGAAAAGGAAGATCAAGAAAATGAATTAACTCAATCAGAAGAATTCTTGAGTGAGTTAGAACTAGTCCAAGGAGTTTGATTACCACACAGCCTTTCAGTGAAATTATCAATGAATACTTGATTCCAATCAGGTATTGGAGCTAGCATGTACCCAAAAAATGGTAATTTCAAATTTTTTTTTCCTAATTGCAACAATGTTAACAAAAAGAGGTATATAACTAAAACATTTATATTGAATCCAATGAAATGATCCTCAAAGGAATTAAAACTTACTGCAAAAGATGAACTGAAAGGGTTGACATGTTGTTGACTCTTATACTAAGCAGCTATTTATATATTGAGTAGTCAACAAGTCTTCATAGAATACAAGGATTGCAACTTTCCAATCTCCAGAAAACCAACATTTTTTCAGCTGACATAAATGTTAAGCTTCAGAAATACTGAGATCTCCTCCGTCTAGTGCTTTGGGCTGTGAAAAGGAAGAATGATCCTTAGTAGTTTTCTTGATTGCTATATAACCTTTCAGGTATGATTTTTTATTGGCCATTTCTCTATCATTTAATATCCATATCCTGAACCAAAAAATATGAGGAATTTATGGCATTAACAAAAATATAAAAGGGAAAAGACAACACTACAACCAATATTACCTTTTATTTAGTTTTGAATTCATTTGATTGTCATCCTGTTTTGAAACTAAAACAAAAGAAGAGATTAATTAGATTAGCCATTTTCCAAGTTTCTAACAACAGGGTGAAAATAAATTCAATTACAGAAAAAAAAAAAAAAAAAAGGTTGTGAATAATTATGATGGAGTATTTTTGTAAGAAATACCATAAACAAAGCTTTTGTTTTGTCTCTAAACTTGTGTGGCTTTCACAATCCTAAAAAGAAATCCTAAAAAGAAAGAATAAGACTAAGTTAGAAAAGATTAAGTTACAAGATATAGTAAAGGAAAATATATTCCTAAATTAATTCTCAAAAGACAAATTTATTTGAAAATTTGAGAAAAGCTAAGTAGTACCTGAACTTCAATGCAGGGGATGTGGGCTATGAGGGGCCAATAGTCTCCTTTCTTCTCCAAGCATCTTCGTTTTAGCAACGGGCAGTCTTTAATCTTGAGTTTTTCAAGCAAGGAAGGCAGGCCTTCCTTTGGCAAGGATTGCAAGTTCGGGCAATTCATAATGCATAATTTTTGAAGCGAGGGAGGCAGGCCTTCCTTTGGCAACGACTGTAGCTTTGGGCAATCCTTGATTGTTAAATCTTGAAGAGAGTTGAGGTTTTGAAGGAGCCCTCTAGCTATGGATTTCATATTTTCAACCTTACCTACCACAAGTCTGGTTAGAGAAGTGGGAAGCACATCAAGATCAGGACATATCCAATAAATCTCCAAGGATAAAAGAGAGGTGATTCTGCTAAGGCCCCATTCCTGCATCGGCTTCTTCAGATTCTTGCAATCAATTGTAAGACTTCTAAGGTTTGGAGGAAAACCATGGTCTGGAATGGACTCAATCCCTTGACAGTCGAAAATTTGAAGATCTATTAGGTTTGGAAACAAACCACCACCTGGAATGGACTCGATCCCTATACACTCATAAATGTGAAGCCATGTTAAGTTTGGAGGCAAACCACTGTCTGAAATGCACTTGATCCTTGGACAATTGCTTATATATAATCCATTGAGTGATGTGAGGTCGTGCATCTTGCTAGGCAAAGACTTGAGATTCCTGCAATCTGATATGAATAAATCTTTAAGATTGGAGATGGACAGGGAAAACGACTCCAAACCATCACAAGTGTCTATCGATAAAAAAGTGGGCCCACGCATGTCCTCCAAACATAAACTTTTCATATCACCTCCATCAATACTTATCCCTTTAAGTTCTGTACAATACTGCAGCATCCTTTGAGGCGGAGACTCCAATTGCTTGCAATTTTCGATATAAAGCCGTTTAAAAGAATTGGATAACTGACCACTTGGAAAAGATTTCAGACAAGGACAACTGACAATATTTAATGCTTCAAGTTGCGACACTTCATATGCATTACCATTATTCATCAATATTCCTTCTGGTAGAGACTCTAGCTTTTCACATCCCCAAATTTGCAGAACTTTAAGCGTGGTGGGTAACTTGCCTCTTGGAAACATTCGGAAAGCAGGACATTGAGCAATAGATAATTCTTCAAGTCGCAGCAACATCATTATCTCACCAGGCAAGGAATCCAACGCTTCACACTCCTTGACTTTTATCTTCTCAACACATGCAAGGTTTAGGATATTGACTCCCTCTTCCCACAAACAAGTAAGTTCAGTGCAAGACACAATCTCTATATCCTTGAGAGCTATCATGGACTCAACAAAACTCTTTGGTAGGCAATTCAGTTTATAAATTTTTTTTATACTCAATGTTTTGAGGGAGGTGAGATTGACCATACTCCTCAATACTACCTCACTACATTCTTCCATATGCAATTCT